GGGGCGGGGCCTCCTGGGGCAGGGCGGGGCCTCTTGAAGCCCACCGGGGCCACTACGGGTCAGGGGGCTTCCAAGCTGACTGGTGACAACCTCTAAGGACCTGCTACTTAAGAGCTTGGGGTTTTCAGGTAGAAAGATGCCCACCTCACTGTGGGCACCACCACCACCCCTGTTCCCCTCCCTCCTCCAGGTGGCCCATCCACCACTCCCCTGCACCCCAAACGCAGCCCGACCAGCACCGGGGATACTGAGCTCAAGGAGGACCGCCTCCCGACGCGGAAGGCTAGCTGCAGCACCACGGGCAGTGGGAGCCGAGGACTGCCCCCCTCCAGCCCCATGGTCAGCAGCGCCCACAACCCCAACAAGGCCGAGATCCCCGAGCGGCGGAAGGACAACACGAGCACCCCTGTGAGTGCACAGCACGCCACCTGGACCCTGTCCCCTTACCCCCACCCCCTCGTCTTGTTCCTGAGACGCCCCACCGCGCAGACACTCCAGGTTTTATCCTTGGGTACAGTCACAACTGTGGGTCCCTGGACCTCCATGTGATGCTAGCCGTTAGTCAGCCTTGCTCCGTCGGAAGCCAGAACCTACAAAGGGCTGGACCCCAGAGATCTAACAGGAGTGAGTGCCTGGTGAATGTGTACCCCCACCTCCAAGTTCACCCCGAGGAACCTTGTACGGAAAGCCCTGGAAATCCACATTTAATGGATCATTGATAACCCCACGGAGCACACGGTTCCACTCTTGACACCTGGGGTCGACGTAAAGGAACCTGCTCCCGATGGTCAAGTGGAGGGGCAGCGAAAAAGGGGAAAAACCCCTCAGCGAGATGGATTGATTGACACTGGCAGCAACAGGGGGCTCTGACCTAGGAACCATGGGCAGGGGTGGCACGGGACTGGCCAGTCTTTCTGTTGTGCATAGGGTCACTCGGGGTCAGAACCCTCTCAATGGCACAACAATGCATGCTCATGACAACAAAACACAGGAAAACTGGCCCCGTCTGGATTAGACGGGAGCTCCCGTCTGGGCAGAGCTAGCCCTGGCCCCCATTGGATTAGAAATACATGGTTGTGGCTGACGTTCAAGACTCAGAAGGTTCACCTTGCATTGAGCGCCCTGAGACTCCCTGAGAGGCTGGAGCCGGGTCACTGGATGGTACTGAAAACGACCTCTCTTCTACCCTGGGCTGTGTGCAAAAGCAAGACCTCTCTGGGCGTCACCATTCCCCTCTCTGAAATGGGCTCATCAAAGAAGCTGGTGGCTGTGAGGCTCTCGTTAGATCTTTATACATGAAGTGTTTTACACAGCGTCTGGCCACAGTCAGCGCTCCTGTGACCAAGAGCTGTGGTTCTCCTTCCAAGGAACCCACGCCTTAAGAAGAAAGGGACCAAACGCGAACGCCAAAGAAAGTAAAGGGGAGAGAAGACATCCGTGGAGAAAACACAGGGGCTCCAGAGAAAAAAATCAAAGCCAAGAAAAAATTTTTAAAAACAGGTTGGCTCTTTTGGGAAGGTGAAAAAAAATCAACAAGCCTCAAGTTAGAACGATGGGGGGAAAAGATAGCAGACACAAATGCCCAGTATCAGTATGAGAAAAGGGAGCTTTATTCAGTCATTAATAACAAGAAGAAGAAGAAAAGCCATTAAAACCAAAAGAAAGCCAAACCACTGCCAAGGAGCCCAGCCCAACCCACAGGGACCCTATCGAGGGTTTCTGAGGCTATAACTCTTTACAGGAGCAGACAGCCTCATTCTGCTGCTCA